TAAACAACATCAGGGCCTATCTGTGACTTTTGTTTGTGTGAATAGAATTCTGGAAAGCATTACGAGTTTCACTGAGCGCAGCAGTTTTGTTTCCTGTGTTCAAACCACAGAGCAGATATTTTCTTAAATGCTGTTTAAAGACATTGTCTCGTAGTCCGTATACAATGGGACTGACAAACCTGGGGAGAATTTGGATGATGATGTACAAAACAAAGAGGACATACAGATGATGTTCGGGGAACCAAATAACCAGTGAGTTTCTGAACATAGGGTACACATATGTCAGCATACACAAGAGGAGCTGAAAGCCATGAAGCAGGATGGTGTTTCTGGCCTTTTTTGCTTTTCCATCYMRRGAATTWGCTGCTCTAGCAACAAAGAAYATCTTTATATAGGTACAGAAGAGAGTGAGCCAAACTCCTGTTAAATACAGTATAAAAGAAACATCCCTCTTTTGTATACTTACTGGATGTCGAAACATATTATCTCTGTCACAAAATACTGTGGAATAAAACAGCCATGCAGGCTCTGTAGCTACAATGAGAAATATATCAGGTATAACTGACACAGAACTCAAAACCCAAATCCAGACAATCAGAATATAAGTTCGTCTGACGGTGCAGAGCTCAGCGTGTCTCAGAGGGAAGCACACAGCGATGTAGCACTCCACAGCCATTGCAGCTAAATTTATTGGGGTGTTTAGGGTGGTGAAAACAGCAAAGGAAATAACAAAACAACAGAGAGAAACGTTAATTTGATAGAAAACATAACTGATGACAAACAGGCTGACTGTGGTTGTGAGCTGGATCATATCGTTCACCACCAGATGGATGAACAGGATGTAACGAGGATTCCTGTAAAACACCTGAAAGACAGCAGAAGAAACTTTTTACACTTTAGTAATGTTTTTTTTTTTTTTTTGGTGATTTTCAAGCTTTTGTTCTGATCACAACCAAAAACCATAAAATCCAAAATGCAAAGAAAAACAGAAGTTTGAAAATTTCATACTGGATTTAATTTTGTTTAACAATTTGAACTTGTGGTTTTATTTTCTCTTAGSTTAATTCTGTTTGTTAAGATCTACAGATAGCTTTATTAAACAATAAGAATCGTTAGGTATTAAATGATTGACTTTCATACTTTTGTATGAAAGAAAATTAGTAACATTTGGCTTATTCATGCAAATATCATTCATTCAAGTGTGTTTTTATATATGTTTAAGCATAATCTCATTTTATAAAGATGTTTTTGGTCAAAACTAAAAAAGTGATAAGGTATATATTTAGTATTTCAATAACAGGATTTACGTGTCAYCAAAGACAGACCTGGTGTTTCCTGAAGGTGTGAATCAGAGCACAGTTGATGTAGTTGATGCTGAGACCCAGAGCCAGGACAGACAATGTTTTAGCCACACCTGTGCTGGCAGAGTCTCGATTACTCAGAATGATCGACACATTGGAGATAGAAGATGAAGAATTCATGGAGATGATTTCAGTGTGTTGTTTCTTTTACAGAAGAAAGAAAAATGTATTTGCACTGTTTTTACTGTTATTTTTTAGTGTTAATAATCCCACATCTTGTAGAAATGATCTAAACGTAGCAACTGCAACCCTCAAATTCTTTCTCCTTTTCTACTTTAACCTAGGCTTTGTTTTATTACATCACAACACTGATTTAGAAATAAATAAGCCCTGTTCTGTTCAGTTCTGTAAAGTAGAAACAACAAAAACGCTAGTTGAAAAGACAGAAGACAAATTAATCCATMCATAATGATTTTAACAGATCAATTAGAGTATGATTGCAATTTTTCCCCTTTCAAGACACTAAATTAAGCTATTAAACACATATAAACAAATACAGAAAAAAACAATGTTAAAAAACATAGAATGAAACAATGTTGTACTTCCACAATGATGGCTGTAAGATGAAAGCACTGAGGACAGAAATACTTAAAATGTTTAACAAATCACCTCATACTCCAGGTGTAACAGCTAGAAATGAGGTCTAAGTCCAGCTCATGTCTTTATYTTAAACATCTGTATGCATATTAAGCATCTTTATGCCTATTAAGCATCTTTATTCATAAGTTCAGATCCATGTGATACAACAATTTTCCTAATTTGCATTAGTTTATTGTATGTAGTCGGGCATTGCATCATGTTTTTTCAAGAACAAAGTTCATTTTTTAAACATCGCTTTTCCTTTACTCATGAAAATTATYCTGTTCAGTAACTTTAATACACATMGGACAAATGAAACTAAAATGTGGTTCTAGAAATGAAACTATTGGACATTTGTAATATTTTAAAAATAATTAAAAAATAGTTAAAAATAATTGCTGCATGATTATTGTCCTTTTAATTGCTTTTGTAAACATGCTGATTTTGTTCTTGTCTATCACCCCATACGGATGCAAAAAACTCAAAGCATTTTTGAGCAAAAACTAAATAGACTTTGTGGTTTTAACTGATTTATTATGATAAACATACTGTATGTTTGAAAGATTCTAAGAGCTATTGTATAGAGGACAATGGTATGGTCTCCCGAGGCAGTTTGGTCCTAGGTGACGGGCCAAACAAAGGGGTGAAAAACACTTGTATGGAGAGAAAAAAATCAGGCTGAATGAAAAACATGGGTTTAGCTTATGGGCCCACTACTTGCAGGAGGGTCTGTACCAGTCAGGTGGATGATGTCATGGGCAGTAGTTTAAGGCTGGGACCATGATACTCAGACCTTGGTTTACTAAAACTCACTCTTGGGACATGGAATGTGACCTCTCTGGTGGGGAAAGAGCCTAAGATTGTTTGTGAGTTTTAGAGGTATCGACATTTCACCTATGGTGAAAGTCTCAAAGCTGTCAACTTTTGGCTCTCTGACTTGGTGCCTGTGTGTCGGAGTTTTCCCCGGTGGATGAGAGGGTAGTTTCATTACGCCTTCAGGTGCAGGTACAGGCTTTGATGGTTGTTTGTGCCTATAGGAATGGCAGTTTAGAGTATCCGGCTTTCTTGGAGTCCTTATAGGTGGGTGCAAGGTGCTTCAGCTGGGATTTCGTTTATTCTGCTGGGGGACTTCAAAGACTGATATGATTGGCAGGAACAGCCTCTTCGATCTTGACCTCTAGTAGCATTTTTTTTGGACTTTGGTTCTACTCACAGTTTGTCAATCACAAACACCATGTTCGAACATAAGGGTGTCCCTAAATGCACGTAGCACCAGGTCATGGCCTTTGTAGTTGCGTCATCTAACCCGCAACCATATACTTGGAGAATTAGATGAAGCGAGGATCTGAGCTGCTGACTGATCACTACTTGGTACTGAGTTGAATCAGATGGCAGGGAAGTTGCCAGACAGACCCAGTAGATCTAAATGTGTAGTGAGGGTTTGCTGAGAATAGGCTTGGGCAGTATGAAGGTATTATACCGCAGTATCAAAATATGATGARGGTATAAAAAAATTATGATGATATAATATGAGACGTGTGAGGTGAACCGCATGTGAATGCTGGGACAAACATTTCAGAAGATGCTCCATGTTGTTACTGATGCATGTTCTGATCACCTCAGCTCATTCAGAAGACAAACAGAAGGGAGGTTGGAGAGCAGAGACACCCCCATTTCTCCTGCCTCTGAGCAGGGTAAAAACAAAACAAACAAAAAAACAAGTGAGCTTGCACAACCGGACATGTTCAGGCACGTTACTCCTCGCCGGCTGTTTCACCCTGACTGTAGATTTTTGGACTGGCTCTTCACCGTCARTAGGATTCTCAAGGGGTCATGGGAGTTTGACCATCATGTCTTGTGGACTTGGAGAAGAAATTCCACAATATTACTCAAGGTACACTGAGGGGGTGCTCCATGGGTGTGGGATTATGGATCTTTTTTATGGGCCATTCATTCTTTATACAATCAATGCAAGTGTTCGGTTCAATTTACCAGCAGTAAGTCAGACCCCTTCAGAGTGGGAGGACTCCAATCATTGCTTCTTGTGTCACAGATTTTGTTCATAATGTTCATGAACAGAGTTTCTCAGACAATCTTCAGCTCACTGCATGATCATCACCTTCATATCTGAGGCCATGGTCCTCAGTCAAATAAATATGCATTTCTCTCTCTGGGTTGGGGGTGAAATTCAGCCTCAAATGGAAGAGTTCTTGGGGTTTTGTTCACGAGTAACAAGATAGACTTGACTTTCAGCATTAGCTTCCACGGTGATACTAAAGGACTGATGAAATGGAAATGTCACGATGACCTGACAGAGGAACCAATCTCACCTTGAGGAAAGAAAGGTGGATAGAGTTTGTGAACAGATAATAAAAAGTTTGGGCAGATAAAAGACTTTTTTTCAAACGTTTTTTTTCCCTTTTTGGGCAGATAATTTCCATAATGGTGCTTTTTTGGCTTACCACCCCCTGCAACTATTATATTGTCTGCAAATTACACAGATTCCCCCCATTATTCATGTATACCTTACAGATTCTTTCAAAAACGTTGCATCAATTTAATTTCGGTCTCAGAGCTGGCAGGCTGTAAGGAAATGAGTTTGCCACCTCATCGGCTTGCGCTCCCTGCCTCTTCCTGAGGCATTTTGGTGTTTCCACCCCCTGCCTCCATGATTGGTGGCAGCGTTGATCACCCACACCTGCATGCGATTTGGCTCATCACCTCCAGGCTTCTTAAGGCAGTGCTGAAGATCAACTCATCGCTGAAGCATRGCCTCATGTTTGGTATGAGCTCAGCCTGCTGCTTGTTACTCTCTCAAAGAGTTTTTGTATTACCTGTGTTTTTTGTATTTACTTGTTTGCAGAAAACAATCTCCAGCACGTTTTTGCCTTCCGCCTTGGACTCAGAGCCTCTCACCAGTTTCTCATGCGCTGCCTCCCACCTATCACTGTAAAWACCAACTCACCTGTAAATACTCACCTCTGGATCCTCACCTTTTGGACCAACTCCTCCATGCCTCATCTCCTTCCCCAGCCTGTAAGAACTCACCTGTTTTTTCTCATCTGCTTAAGACCATTACTGAAAGACTATCAAATACTCACCTCTGCAATCGTTCTGTTCCAGGTCCAGACCCCAGACCCCTCCCACACCTATTAAAATAAAATCACTTACCTATTTGTATATCTCGTCTCCYTCTCTGTTTGTCTGTGGTACTGCTCACATTGACCCCAATCTGTAATTCTGATGGTATGCTTCAGCCCAGTAAAATGTCTGTGAGCAATACTGTTATGTTTTAGTAAAACTCCAGACAGGACTTCGTTTGACAAACTCAGTGTTCTTCTTTTATTTTTTTGTCACACCTGCTAACATACAATCACTTAGTACTCTTCTTCATGTAAAGGTACAGGTAAAGGTGCAAACACTGCCACCAAGTGGATAAGTGTTTTAAGACTATCACCACAAATACCTCTGACAATCAGACCCCCGGAGTTAATAATCAACCTGACCCTACAATGTTAGATCATGACCAAAAGCTTAATCAGTTATTTCAGCTTCAACAGGAAACCAGCGCATTATTAAATCAAGTCACTCATCGTATTGCCGCCATTGATAGTAGATTGAACATGTTTTTTTCCCCTAACCCGATTACACCTCCCGTTACCACACCCAGTCCACCTGTTTTTCCTGTGAGAGAACCAGACATCCGACCCTCTGAATTTGGAGATATAAATCGGTGTGCAGGTTTTTTATTACAGTGCCGATTGGCTTTCGCTCGTTCACCTTCACTTTTTCCTACTCATTCTGCCCGAGTTACTTACATTGTGTCTGCTTTAAAAGGAAAGGCTCTCAGATGGGCTCAAGCCTTTCTTTCAGCTCATTCTTCGGATACACTCACCTCTCAGTTGTTTATTCAGGAGTTCCAGCATGTATTTGATCATCCCCTCCAGCAGGAGGAGGCAGCGAAAAGACTGATCAATCTACGACAAGGAAGTAAATCGGCAGCCGAACACTCTGTGGATTTTCGCATTGTTGCGGAAGAGGCGGGTTGGGAGGAACTTTCCTTAAAAGGTATTTAAATAAACCCTTTATCTGAACAACTTAAAGATCAACTGGCTTGCGGGGACGAACCCGGAAGCCTGGACAAATTAATCGCATTGTCCATCCYTAATCTTAATAGAATAAGAGAGCGAAAGAAGGAAAAAAACTGCACTTCCCAGACGCCGTGGGTTTCCGCCTCCGTAATCAGTGGCGAGTTTCCTCCTCCTCACGCTACAGCTGCTGTTAATTCTGCCGAACCCATGCAAATTGGACGCACCCGGTTGACTCCTGAGGAAAGACAGAGATGGTTTGCTGCTAAGTTGTGCATCTACTGCGGAAACAAGGGACACTTTGTCGCCACCTGCCCCCTGCGGGGAAACGGACCATCTCGTCAGTAGAACAGGGGAAACTGACAAGACCTGACAACTTTTCCCCTACCTCCTTGTTTTTCTTTTGTCTGCGACGGTACTTTGTGGACAGATCAAACTACCCATCTCCAATCT